ATGGCCATTCTCACTGGTGTGAAGTGGTATCTCATTGTGGTTTTAATTTGCATCTCTCTGATGGCTAGTGATGCTGAGTATGCTTTCATATGTCTCTGACAAATGGTGATGAGAGATCTGGACAACTACATGCAAAAAAATTAAACTCAATCACCAACTTACAACATACACAAAAATAAATTAAAGATGGATAAAAGACTTAAATATAAGTTGTGACACCATAAAAGTTCTAGGGGAAAACATAGGCAGGAAAATCTCAGATATTCCATGCAGCAATATTTTCACTGATATGTCCCTTAGAGCAAGGAACATAAAGGAAAAAATAAACAAATGGGATCTCATCAAAAGAAAAGGTTCTGTACTGCTAAAGAAAACAGCAGTGAAATAAAAAAGAGAACTAACTGTTATGCAAAAACATATTTGCCAATGATACCTCAGACAAGGGTTTGATCTCCAAAATATATAAAGAACTTGCATGAGTCCACTCCAGGAAGTCAAACAACCCAGTTAAAAAATGAGCAAAGGACTTGAACAGACATTTCTCCAGGGAGGACTGACAGAATCTTTTTAAAGTATTGATTACTAACACTTAAAATGATTAAATGTTTACATAGCAATCCAGATCAGAAGATCTGGCTATGCTGGGGCTCACATTCTTACCTGGCAACAACTGGCTGCATTGAGAATCAGCTCCAACTTTAGCTGGGGCATCTAGTCTACCAGTTCCTCACAGTCCCCACCACTCCCTGTCACCTCCCAAAGTGAGGCTTAGTGTCTGTTGCTATTGGTCAGCTTTCCCGCAGGGTTGCTTTTCTCACTATGAAACAAAAAGTTTGGGACCTATATGTCTTATCAAATGAGAGCACAGGCCTCAAGGCTGGTGTGTGTTTCAGGAAGTTTTCTTATGCACATCCCACACCCCTCATTTATTGTAATTACGTCCCAGCTCCTGTGTGTATTTGCATTTGTGGACCCTGCTCTCACCCTGGAGAGACAGATTGTGTTATGGCCTGTCTGCATAGCCAAAAATTCAACATTTCCATGGCAAAGCTCTTTCTCTGAAAAATAAACGCACTTCATTGAACTCAGTGAATTCACCTTGGAAATGCACCACCTAGACTTGTTCATGAGCTACTTTGCCTTTATGAGAAGTTTTGCAATCTCCTTAATGATGTGTATTCTAAGGCCTCTTGAACTCTTTCCAGAAAAAAATCATTTTGTTTTGTTTTGTTTTGTTTACTTCATTATCCCCTCGATGCAGCTATGGCATCTTTACCTTCTGAAAGGCTGCCTCCTGCCCAGTGACGCCTGCCTCCTGGTCTCTTCTGAGGGTCACTAGGTTGGTGCTCTGCCTTCAGCCCCAGAGTGTGGCTGGCCATCTTGGGCATGGCTGTCTGTCATCACATACATCACCTTTAATGACAAGGGTCTCACGTGGCCATTTTCTTTTAACCACAAGTGCAAAACTGCTTGCCTCTGGGACCTCATGTGTTCTGAAAATATGCCTACCAGAAGGAGCCAACCTGATGTACTTATGGCTCTTTAAAGTCCAGGCCCCACTTATGGAGACCATTCTGGGGTCACTGGAAACCAGCTAGATGCATTTGTTGAGCCTCCACATGAGGACTGCCGATGCCGGGAACCTGCACACCCACCTGCATTGCTGTGAGGAACCTGGTTCACACAGGACCCACCAATAATGCTGCAGTCACCTTTCATGGGAGGGGCAATTCTCAAGGAAGAAAAGAGGGGGAAGCACAGGTCCATAGGGCATAACCTTGGTTACCATTTGCGGACTGGTTTGTGTGGATCTGTGTGCTTTGTGGGAAATAATTTATTTGGTGTAGATACTTTCAAGGTGCCATGTTATTTCCTACATTTGTTAAAATAAACAAGTGTACAAAAAAATTCGGCTGGGACACAGTCCTCAGTCTTTCAATCAATCACTAGTCTAGGCATTGCTGTATTTTGTAGATGTGATTAAAGTCTGTAATTAGTTGACTTTAAACAAAGGACATTATCCCAGATGATCTGAGAAGGCCTGATCCAATCAGCTAAAGGCTATAAGACCAGGGATCTTATGAGGCTACTTATGGAGAACAGCCTTGGGTACCACAAGCAAAGCTATAATGCTCGGCAATTTTCTTATACCTTCTTCATATGAGAGGGGTCAATGTTCCTAAAATATTTTAGCCAAGTGACATAATACTAAATACCACTAATTTCACTAATAAAATCTCTCACTAATGAGAGACTAATAGCTAAATCTGTTATGCTAATTAAATTGTAATTTCACCTATGAAGACCAATTTCTAATACTCAGAATGCTGATTAGCAACATGTCCAGTGCAGACCAGGCACTGCTGCAGTGTTTACAGTAGCCACCCAGAAGAGTGGCCATTCTGATGAAATGTGAACTCACCACCCTACCCTGAGAACACAGCCTAAGCTAGCATAACCCCAAAACCACATTGCTATGCTGAAGTACTTTGGAGTAAATTTCAGAAATCATAGCAAGTACTGTAACCAAATGTGTAAAAGGTAAGACAGGTTTTCCCTAAAATATGGCACTGCTTTGATGTCTTTCAAGTTGTGAAACCCATTTCTAGCAAGCAAGGGAAACCCATTCCTAGCATGCTACATGTTTAAGCATGTCTACATGTAATTATTTCTTGAAAATGAAAAAATTTCCTACTTCTGGACCTTGATAGGCTGAGATGAGCATGGATGAGCATAGATGATACAGCTGTCCCTCTGAACAAGTTCAGATTGTCATTTTGACAATCTGAAGTTTTTCATATATCATTTTTAAATTTTGTGATACTTTAAATTTGTACTCTTTGAGAGAATCCTGTAAAATAATCAGCTCCACATGGGAATGTATAAACCACTGAAAAATCATTAAATTGGATCCATTTCACATTCTTAGAGAAAGACACACTTAGGTTATTCAAAACATAGTTAATGCAACAACTCTTAACCATCATAAACATGAATACCTAGAGAAAAGAAAAGAATTACAGGAGTGTCCAATTTGTTCCTGAATGCAAAAGTGAAATAGACCAAAACATGCCAAACTATGCTATGGTGGGTACTGGCAGTCTTCCCCTACATCCTCCATCAAATGCTTCATTTCTTATCTTTACAAAAGCTAAGCTCCACAACTGAAGTCTGGAGCTATTCATCAAGCAGACAGCACTCAATGCATTTCATTTGGCCACATGTCTACAAAGCATAATGTTAAATCATGAGTTTGGGCACCAAGGAGTCAAACAGCTGGTCCTTCTCCATGCTCTCTTTTCACTAGCTCATCAAGCATTTGATAGAAGCCTATAGCTTCTGGAATTCCACAAAGGGAATGATGCAGACTCTGCTGGCCATTACTGTCAGCAGGCTCAAGAAGACAATCACAATATGCAAAGGCCACTGAAGATTTGTTTGCTAATTTATTTAATTGATATTTGTTGGGCATCTGCTATTTGGCAAACTCAGAACTAACAGGTGAGAACTAAAGCATGTGAGAGACTAATTCTAGCTACCCTGTTGGATTTTATAGTCAATTGGGAAAAAGAAATACAAAATGGCATCAAGCCAAATGAAGAAACACATTAGATGTACACATACAAAGGACGTGTTTATGAAAATCAGGCAAAATTTGGCTGGAAATATAGGGCTCTGATTCTTTCTTCCCTAGGTTGAAAAACATGACCCAAGGAGTTCCTATAATGTATTAAAAAAATCTGCATTTGTCACCCTTTTCTCTCTCATACCCAACACCAATGTCCTGAGGCAATCTCTCTGGGCATTGTCAAAGCATTAACTCATTCTTTTTCTCTGTTGAATCAAGTCAGATCACTAACTCTATTAGTAGTCTAGGAAACCAAACAATAATTCAGTAAACAACAGGCCCAAAATGGCAGCACTTGATTAATAACTAACAACTTTCCTAATTTTTGCCCCTGTTTTCAACTTAGAACCAACCAAAAAAAGCTAAATATGCACCCCTAATTATCATACAGGATGCCCTTCTTTAGTTAGCCCACACACAGCTTCTCCATGCCAACAGCCTCTAATCAAGGCATACCTGAAACCTTCCCTTCTTTGCACCATCCCATCCTCTGTCTGCCTTTGAGTCTCTATCAAACACAAGTGATGGTGGCTAACCGCCTTGTTATAGTAAGATCCAAATAAATAGTCTTTGCTTGTTCTCATTTAGGTGATTCTCATTTATTTATTTCCATAAAACAAAAGTCTCCTCCTAGGATAAATGTACTTAAATGTGAAAAGAGAATTAATTAAATAAAATCTAATTAAATAGTGGTACAGAGGGTACTGGAATATTACCAAAATTATCCCAGTGGTACACAAATGCAGAAAGTTTGAAAACACTGTGTTCTGTGCCAACCTCATGCTAAATGCTGTAAGGTGTTATATTCTGCACAAAAACTTGCAGGGGAATATGTGACAAAAATATACTGGGCATTTTCTCACCTCAGACCTTTGCACTGGCTATTTCATCTGCATGGAATGATCTCTCCCACACTCGTAAGACATGCACACTCCCCTCTTTGCCTCATTGCTCGGATGTCTTCTCCTTTGTGAGTTCTCACCTGACTAATCTGTTTTTACCAGCAATACCCTCTAACATATCCTTCCCTCCACACATACAGTCTTCACTCCCTTTCAGGTTTTATTTTCACCATAGTACTTACCATCATCCAATATAATACATATTTTATAACTTTTTTCCTTTTCTTTGTTTCAACCCATTCCCACAACCCGCCTTCTCATTAGCAACAACCAGCTTGGTCTCTGTTTTTATGAGTGTGTTTCTTTTTTGTTTATTCATTTGTATTTTTTTTAGATTCCACATGTAACTGAAACCGTACAGTATTTTCTTTCTCTGATTTATTTCACTTAGCATAATACTCTCTAGGTCTATCCATGTTGTCACAAATGGCAAGATTTAATTCTTTTTTATTGCTGAGTAATATTCCTTTATATATACCACAACTTTTTTTTAAATCAATGGACATCTAGGTTGTTTCCATATCTTGGCTATTTGTATTTTATTTCTTTGTAACATTTATTACCCTGTACTAATAGGTAATTCCATAAGGGCAAGGATTTTCCCCTTCTTTTTCTTTTCAGTCCTCAGTAGATACTTACTAATTGAATAAAAGCAGGAAGGAACATTATCTCCTTGGAATCAATAGAATCCAAGCTCAATTTCCACTCTGTTGCTTGCTGTAGTAGCTATGGAGATGTGTCACCCAGATCCCCTTCAAAGGGTGGCATGTGGTCTCAGCTGTCAGCTCCTTCAGGGTTTGCCTCAGCTGCACAGTCTCCAAAAAGGTAGCCAACATCCCATGACTGACTGAGTATGAAGGTTCAGCAATTTCAGCCCATGAGATACCCTAGTGGGCAGAATATGCTAGAGAGCACCCCTAGGTGTTGGCTTAGTCCTTCCTGTATTACATTTCAACTTTTACCCAATCCTGTTCCCCTGCCCCTCACAGCGGTTAACTCTTAATAAGTACCATGCACTCCAAATTCCATCTCAGCATCTGCTTCTGGAGAACAAACCTACGACACTAGCTCAGTCCCAAAGGATCCAACCTGTGACATCAACTAGGATTCCTACTCTCCTCAGCTTCCTTCTTCAAATTCTTCAAGGAGGTTCTGAACGCTTGTGACATACTATTAGACACCAGCCCAGAAGCAGCTTGTACTTCTCCTGGTTTCTACATATTCCTGCAGTTCTCTGTGGACATGACCTAAGAAGCATTCAATGTATCACAGGCTCCAGAGAGGAAGTCTGAGCAGGCCCCAGGGAGCCTGCCCTGTGGGGACTCTAATCACAGCTTTCCTTCTACCACAGTGAAATGAGTGATCTTTGCCCTGCTGCCATTTATCTTCCTTCCCAGCTGCCACACTCAGTATGAAAATGTGGGTTTTTATTTGCACTGTCCACCTCCAGGTTGCAATCCCCACAGGCACCCCCATGACTTCATAGTGAACAGAGCTCCGAGGCTGGCTTCAGGACTCTCTAAAGAAAAAATAGAAAATTGAAATAATTATTACAGCCACTGATCCTTTTTGTCTAGTGGATCCCACCCATTAATAATTCAGAGGCATTGGGCTACTACACTGTGGTTGCATGTTTCCATAACCAGCTAACCACACTGGGCTGGGAAGCAAATTGCTGAGCAACCATTGGATGAGTGTGATAAGTACAGATTTCTGCTGGGATCAGTCCAATGACTTAGGAGTAAGAGACTTGATCCCCTAAGATACAAAAAATCATAAAAAGTTCTCTCCATTCAAAAAGATGATTAGATTTTAAAATATGTTTCAGTGGATGTTAAGCTAAATAGCGAAAGATAAGCACAGAGAGCTTTTTTTAATTAAAATCAAATTATATGGGTGATGAACTTACAGATAAATTGGTTACATAGCATATTATGGCTGTTCCCTTGACATTGAGTTGAGAATGACTCTGAATGAATCACAAGACTCTATGAATGTCACAGTAGAAAAAAGAAAAGCAAAAAGAGGCCAAATTACTTGTGAAAAAACCGTTGTGCCTTCTCCGGCCTCTTTCCTTTCCTGTGCTCTGTGGAATGGTGCTAATATCAGCTTTGCCTATCCAAGCACCTCTAAGCTGATTGATAGGTTTTCAGAGAAACTTGTAATCATAATCACTCATAGAATAGTCACAGTGTTAGGTATTCTGTGAGTAAGAAACAGGAGACAGCTTTTCTCCACAACTTCTGCAGGGAAGATAGCTGTAGTAACCAGTGACACAATTAACTCACTAACATAAATAACTACAATGCCCTTGACATTGTCATTGCTCTTTCCTCATCTGAGATCCTCTATCATCCATTCATTCCCAAGGCAGAATCTCCTGATCAGGCACAACCCAAATGGCAGCAGCTGCCTGCCCAGTGTGACACAATCATGCGGCACCAGCAGGTGATTGTTTCCATAAGGATGATGTGACTTGACTATCTAGGGAAGTGACTGGAAAGGAACCTTGCCCCAGTCCGCAAAGGATAAGCCATACACCCTAAGACAAATGTCTCTTCCACTATAGGAGCTGTGAGGTGGATGGATTGGCACACAACAGAAAGTGGACAAAGGGCTGAAGGAGGGCACCATCAGGCCAACACGAATGCAAACACCGGAAAAGCCGCTGCCTGCCTCAGGCATGGAAGACCTATTTATTTAATAAAATGCAGTGTTAGAAGGAGCAGACTTTTTGTGGAGGAAGTCACGGTAACCTTCTAAATGCTTAGTTAGGACAGAAACATACTATAAAGAAGAGAGCCTGAGGTAATGGGAAAGGAGAAATACTAAAGTCTTCATTCAGCTCCTTTTTCTCCACATAGGACCAATAATTTTCACTGTGTGAAAAGTATTATGGTATTTTTGCAATGTTATACATTTAATTTCAGATCTTCAGAATCTATGCTTTCCAAACTGAAGATGCCAACCTGTTCATGGATCATAAAATCAATTCAGCATATTTAAATTACATAATAGAATAGAATAGAATAAAAAATATCAATGCATCATACTTAGTAAGGTATCATCCTGGAACATTGTTTCAGTTATAGTATTTGTGTATGTGTATAAGTGAGTATATAAGTGTGTGTGTGTGTGCGCACGTGCATATTGAGTAATGATGTAAAATGTATTTATTACTCTGCTTGGTTAAAAAAATACAAGCCATTACTCTAAATCAGTTAGGAGAAGCTACATATCAGGGCCTAGATTTCATCTCAGTGCCCCATGCAGCCCACCCACAAGCTGATGGAAAGCCCCTTGAGTGCTGCACACCTTACAATGCCCAGTGGAGGGAAGGCCTGTGACTAAATCATTACAGAATGTAGTTCCCCATACTTTAGGCACTTTCATTAGGAGGAGCAGGAGGGGATGAGAAGAAGGGAGAAAGAAGAGAAGGGGAAGGAGGAGGAGGAGGAGAAGAAGAAGGAGAAAAATTTTATAAGTACCAAACACTCCCCAAGACACACTTGATATTTCAGATACATTCAATTGATTGCTGTGTATCTAACATCCATTTGTATACCCAGTGGCCCCATACAAACACCTCCTTCTATTTAAAATGCCAACAGCACATTTGGAACTAAGACAATGTTCAGGCTTGCAAAGTTTGCCTGATTTTTCGCCATGTAGCCATTTGAGAAAGGAAAGAGCTTTTTAATGTGTCCTTTGAGCAGAAAAGAGGTCCTTATCCCCTTCAGAATTCAGAGGTCCATGAAACTGGAGGAGGGAAAATATTACCTCTTCATATTCAGAGATATGATTGATTATTTAGCATGTACTTCCAATGTGAATATAAGCTACAAGAGTACTCATGACTTTGTCAACAATGGGAATCATAATTATTTTTATAGTATGTGACAGTTACTGCAGATATCCAGATATATTGTTTATATTTATTACTACTTCCAAAGTCATTTGGAAGTGATGACTTCCAAAGTCATCAGAGTCATTATTAGACTCCTTGTTACATCTTATTATTTAATGTGTTAGTAAAAAAGAACAGTCATTGCAATTTTTTTAATTTTGGTGACTGTATTTCAGTGGAATTGGTTTCCTTTGTAAGCTTAGATATTTCATTTTATGCATTTTAAAGCATTATTCTGAGACATCTATAGTCTTCTCCAGACTACCAAAGAGGGCCATGGCATGAAAATGGTTATGTGATTAGAGACTTATTAGAAAGAACAGTGCAGAAAGAAACATAATTATAACCCAGAACATATAGTCATGGAGGCTGAATAAATTGGAATAAAGTATTGGGACTATTTACAGTAGAAAAACTTGAACTGGCTAGAAGGTCTTAAAAGCACCTCCAAATTCTCCATAATATATCTATATTTTCACAGACTAGGTGGCTTAAATGAGAAAGAGTAAAACACAAGGAATTTAGGGTCTATCTTAAGATATTAGAAAAGAAGAACAATAAATAAGAGAATGTTAGGAGAGGGAATTAATAATGTTAATAAGATTTCTAATAAAGTGATATATAAATATGTCCACACTCTGGTTATTTGACTAGTCCAGTTAAATAGATAATCTCTTTATGAGCCTGATTAGGGAATAAATAAGGAAAAATAAAACATACAAGATGACTAATGATGTTGATAATACAATTATTACACACTAAGTTTCACTCTGTGGGAGAAAATTTGAAAATCTAGAAAAATTAAATAAACTCACCACAAAATACAGGGGATGCAAACACATCACACTGGTGGAAAAGTTGAACGGACCAAGTGCTGCGAAGGGAGTGGAAAGCTGATTAAGGATCTACCTTAGAAAAGTCGCTAGGTCCAGATGGTTTCTTACATAGGTTCCAACTAATCTTTAAAGAACAGATAGTTCTGATATTATTAAAATTATTTCTGAGCTCAGGAATATGGAGAGCACCCTAATTTCTTTTATGAAACCAGCACAATTTAACACTATAAAACCTGATAAAAAAAATTTATAGCAGCAGCGGCTACAATAAGAAAAACAACAGTCTGGTCAGTTCCTCTTCTGTCAGCCTGCCGGCAGCTTCCCCATGCCAACAATCCCTCAAGGGGACAAAAGCTCCCCTTCAGCCACCATTAAGCGTTCCCACTCCTTCGTTTGCCTTTGATTTGAATCTCTGCCAAATGCAAGTGCTGGTGACTCAGACTGACTCTCCTGCTGTCCACAAGCAGTTTTTACCCTCAAGGGGGCCATCTTTGTTTATCTCCACAGAATCTGTTAGTTCAGGCAACAAAAAAAAGCACTCAAAATAACACTCCGAAAATTCTGAGCCAGGATTCCAATGCAAGTAGTAGGTTGATTTGGGAAGAGTAGAACACTTGATGGGAGAGTGGGGAAGCGGTGCACAGGAAAGGCAGCCAAAAAGGTGCACGCTTATGAAGCCAGCTAGGAACTTAGTCACTTAGGAAACACTGGGAAGGCACAAAGAACAAGTAACTCAGACTTATCACAGCTGAATGTCAATGGCAGGGTGGGTTTCTCAAGTGCGTGTCCAGTGCAGTGGCACAGAGCTGGTATATAAAAGGATGCTGCAATTAGGTTTGACACTCTATGTAGTCTCTTGAAATCCTTAATTCTTTATCTTGAATTTGTGTTTTGTAAGTAAAATCTGATGAGACAATAGAGTATGTCACACAGATTTGCAGTCTCAGCTAATGCCATACCTTCACCTCCTGCTGCTGCACCCTGTCGCCCCAGGATCTGCATGCAACAGCTGCTGTCTGGGGTCAGTGCCTGACTTGTTCTGTAGGGGTGGGGCAAGATAGAGGAGTGCCTTCTGCGGTGGCTTTCCTCCCTCCTCAGAGCCAAGTGCAGGTGTTGTGGGGTGCTAGACACCCCTTACTTTACATAGTACATGCAAATAAATACCAGCTGCATCAAATATTGATTTTTTAAAAATAAAACTCTGAGATGAAAATTAATAAAACTCACATCAAGAAGATCCTTTTAACAAATAAATGGAAGTCAAAAACTATAAAAAATATAGACATATATGATGACATGACAAAATTATAAGGCAAAAATTTCATAAAATTAAAAGGTAGAGGAGGCACTGTGAAAAAATGTGTTCTTTTAGATGAGCACCAGATAAATATCTATAATTAGCAAAGAACTCTTACAACAAATGGCAAACACCCCAACAGAAAAACTTTAAAAAGTGGTGAATAGCTAATTCACACAAAAGCAAGTCCAAAATAACTAATGAACACATGAAAGAGTGTTTTAAACTCAGTAGTAATCAGAAACATGCAAATTAACCAGGTTCTCATTTTCAACCATTGACTGTTGCCAAACATGGAGAGAAGAATATATACCACTGCTGGCCAGGCTGTGGGGAAGGGCACTTGCATCATCATCCTGCAAATGGGAGCTGTTGCCGCCTTTTTGGAATATAATCTGGCAACATCTACAATAAGCAAAAGTACATATGTGGTTTGACCCAGAAATCTTATTCCAGAAAATCTATTCTACAGAAATTGAGCTCCAGTACATAGGAATATATGTGTGTATCCCCCTTACCCTGAATAATTATTGTAACATTTTTCTGGAAATAAGTTAACACATACACACAATTCAAAAGATGGAATAGTATGTAGCTAATAAAAAGAATGTGTTAGTTGTATATAGATCTATGGTACTTGTTTGCAGGAAGTTAAATCATCTATTTTTAAGTAGGAAATGGGAGATATAGTCAGGGTAGGACAAAGTTTACAGTTCAGGAAAGTAATATAATAAGTAATAAATAATAATACAAGAATAAATTCTATGTTTTGTGTACTTACAACTATAAACTTACTTTTGCCCCCCCATATCTGATTAAAAAATAACAAAGAGTGGGAGAAAAAAACCATACATATGTGTATGCATTTGTATATCACTATGTGAACATGGAAAAGGAGTTAAGGTCACATTAGATTATGAATAATGGTTTCCTGGCAGAGGGAGAGGGAAGAAGCGGAATGTAAAGGATGGGGTGAGGCAGAAAGGAGGGGTAGGGAAGTCTCTACACTAATAAAAATAACATGTGTTACAGAATTTCATTTATTTATAATTGTATATCTGTATACATATAACTTTGTATATACACGCATAAATAATGCATTAAGGTTGGCCATAAAGTGTTCATTTGTGGTTATTTCATGGTAGCGGAATTTAGGTGATTTTTACTCTAAGTAGCTTAGCAAATGTCACACAGAGTAAGGTAAGAGCAAGGATTCAATGTATTTGACCCCAAAGTCAGCACTCTTTCACACATGACACAGCTCTTCCCATGGGACTGCAGCTCTGGTCAGATTAAGATGGGGGTATTAGCAGAAGCCCATTTACCATGACAAGGAAGCAAGCTAGGGCCTGGGCAGAGGAGGGCAGTGGGAATTCAGTTATCAAAACTGGGAGCTACAAGCCTGAGCGTAAAGACTGCATGGGATCAGTTTAAAGTGCAGGCAGGATCCACTGCATATCTGCATCTTGCCAGAGGTCAGGCCTCACCCACACAGTGGTTCTCCACCATCACTGTGCCTGGGAATTCCTTGCAAAGAGTATAAGGATATGGATGCCTGCCTCTTCTCCCCATTTGCATTATTTGGTCTTGTTCTTATCCTAGGCATTAGGATTTTAAATTGTTCCACAGGTGTTTCTAACATGTAGCCAGAATGGAAGAAAGGTAATCCTATGGTCTCTATTGCCATCGAATTTACATGTCAAAACCCTGAGGTGATGGCATGAGAAGGTGAGACCTTAGGGAAGCAATTAGGTCATAAGCCCCACCCTTGTGAATGAGTTTATTGCCCTTATAAAAGAAGTTCAACAGTGATCCCCTTCTACCTTGTGAGGTCACCGTGAGAAGTTGGCAGTCTGCAACCCTACCAGAACCCAACCATGCTGGCATTCTGATTTTGGCACACTTCCAACCTCCAGACTATGGGAAATCAATTTTTGTTATTTATAAGCTACTCAGTCTGGTATTTTGTTACAGGCACCCCGAGCAGATGAAGACAGACGCATCCAGGTAAACACAGCAAGAGACAAAAATAAGATGATGTGAGAGTGCAGCGGTGCTCACCCTTCCATGTGCATCAGGGCCACCCAGAGGCCTGGTTAAAATACAGATTCCTGGACTCTACCTTAGCACTTCTGATCTGTAGGTCTCAAGTGGGGCCTGAGAATGTGCATACCTAACACATTCCTAAATGCTGCTGAGGCTCCTGATTGGGGCCACACTTTGTGAACCACTGACCTGAGGCTGGAGAGAGAAGGAGCCTGAGGCTGAGGGTCATGTGGCTGCAGCTGTGAGGAGAGTGGGCGTCGGAGACTGGGAACCAGGCGGGGCCTGATGATGCAGTTTACCTTTTTGAATTCCCCTCACTTTATCAGTCCACCTACCTGCCAACTCCCTCCAGAGCCAGACAACCTCACCTACTTCAAAGGAAAGATTTAGGCATCATTAGTTGTAATGAGATTTTATACTAATAAGACTTTATTACTACCCATAAAATATATACTTGTCTGGTATGCCACAACACTGTCAGTCCTAAATAAAAGGAACCCGACTTTGCCTGACAGAATAAATGAATGCGATACAATTTGTAAAGCAGTATCTTTCATTTTTATGTTGTTTGTTGACATTCTCATTTTCTGAATTTAACCGCACATCATTAGTGTAGTTTCTGGGTAATTTTCATAATGTTGCAAGAACCTAACACTTCTTGAAAGCTTTGGATTAACTGATTCTGATTAATCTTCTCAGTATCCCTGGTAAGCGGTAGATGTATCAGTTCTACTGACGGGACCCCGCCAACTTGAAAGGAGAGAGAGGGGCTGTGTGACCTCGCATGTGCGAGTTGTTAGGGACTGTGGACCACTGGAATATTCCATTTGCAATCAGTCTCTTTTCTTTTTTCTTTCTGTCATCCTACCTTAACCCCAGTGCATAAATTACTTGATTCAAAGATGCAAAAATTGTCTGCTGTGTATATTGCCCACAGCCTACCACAGTTTCTTAATTCCTACTATGTTGGACACTCGCTTAGAATATTGTAGATAATTACAATTTTAATGTAAGGATAACTAGCAAGGAAAGAAATCTATTTCACCCCTGTTTCGAAATTTTTTCTTCAGTAAAATCTATAGTGAAACGATAGGAAACAGTTTTCAGTGATATCCAGTGGGAAATTTTGACTGAAGAATTTGAGTAAAAAAATTTACCCTCCCATTAAAATAAGTCATACAAAATATATGAAACAACACTTTTCAAGATACTGGTCATCCAGGCAATGAAGAAGAGTGATTCTTGAGAGAGAAGATATAAACAAGGTGAGTCCTGTGGTTGCCCCAGCTTACAGTGTCTAGAAAATTTCCAGGTTTCAGCACAGAAAGGATGAACCCAGGTGGAGCCTGGCAGACATCCCAAGCTGAGAAAATGGTGCTGCAAGTCCAAGGAGACCAAGGCAGTGAGAGTTCCTGAGAGGGTGCCAGAAAGGAAAGATCAGCAGAGCACTGATCAGCATCTGTGCATTAGGAAATTGAGATCTGGGGAAGAACCATGGAAAGGATTATGGGAAATGGTGCCAGGGCCTCTCTGTGCTAGTCCAGACCAGTTTCTATATTTCCATATCCCTATCCCCATCTCCAGCCCACACTGAGACAGTACAGCAGTCCTTGCTTATCACTGATTTTGCTTTCTGTGGTTTTTAGTAAACCACAGCCCAAAAATATTAAATGGAAAATTCTAGAAACAAACAATTCATACCTTTTAAATTGCACATCATGCTGAGTAGCGTGATTAAATCTGGCACATCCAGCTTTGTGGTGTTCTGAGTTAGCAGCATGATGAAATCTCTGGGGTCCACCTTCCTGCTGTTCTGGGCAGTGGGATGAAATTTTGCGATGTCCAGCTCCATACTGGCCAAGACTTGAATCATTCCTTTGTCCAGCTCATCCATGCTGTATATGCTTCCTGTCTGTTAGGTAGAGGATAATTAGGTTATCAGATAGGTTTTTGTGTTCAAATAACCCTTACTTTACTTAATAATGCCCTCAAAGTACAAGAGCAGTGATTCTGAGCAGTTCAGACATGCCAAAAAGAAGCTGTAAAGTGTGTCCTTTAAGTGAGAAGGTGAAAGTTTTTCAGGTTACCAAGATTTTCAGTAAGAAGAAATCTTCAATCTGTGAAAGTGTGAAGAAGGAAAAGGAAATTTACTCTAGTTTTCTTCCTCTTTCTGATGTGCAAATGTCAACATAGCCTAACACTATGTCACAATGTCTATGTTGTGCACCCCACTTCATCTCATCATCATCACAGGAAGAAGAAGGGTGAGTATGGTGTAAGATATTTTGAGAGAGACCACATTTACATATATGTTATTATAGTATATTTTATAATTATTCTATATTATTGTTAGCTATTGTTGTTAGTATCTTACTGTACCTAATTAACATATTAAGCTTTATCATAGGTACGCATGTATAGGATGAAACATAATGTATAATGGGATCAGTACTATCTGTGATTACAGGTATCCACTGAGGGTCTTGGAACACATCCCCCAACTACTGTATTCTTAGAAGAAGATGGAGGCCTGGAAATTAAATCCATTTGCTTAGAGGGTCACAATCGAATATTTCTGCTGCCCTGCTCCTGTGTTCCGATTTTTCCCCAAACAAAATTTACTTAGCTGAATGTTGTGGACTGAATGTTTGTGTCCCCACCCAAATTGATATGTTAAAACCCTCATTCCCAGTGTGATGATATTTAGAGATGGGGCCTTCCAGGAGGAAATGA